AATGGATGCCCTATGTGAAAGTAAAATGGATGCCGTATGTGACAGTAAAATAGCTACCCTATGTGGAAGTAAAATGGCTTCCCCATGTGGAAGTAAAATGGTTGTCTTAAGTAAAAGTGAATGGGTCCATAATTGAAAGTAAATTGATGTTCTATGTTGGGGTAAAATGGATGCTCTATGTGGTAGTAAAATGGCTGCCCTATGTGAAACTTAAATGGCTCCCCTACGTGAAGGTAAAATGGCTGCCCTATGTGAATGTAAAATGGATGCCCTATGTGAAAGTAAAATGGATGCCCTATGTGAAAGTAAAATGGATGCCCTATGTGAAAGTAAAATGGATGCCCTATGTGAAAGTAAAATGGATGCCCTATGTGAAGTAAAATGGCTGCCCTATGTGAAAGTAAAATGGATGCCCTATGTGAAAGTAAAATGGATGCCCTATGTGAAATTAAAATGGCTGCCCTATGTGAAAGTAAAATGGACACTATATGTGAAATTAAAATGGCTGCCTATGTGAAATTAAAATGGCTGCCGTATGTGAAATTAAAATGGCTGCCCTATGTGAAATTAAAATGGCTGCCCTATGTGAAAGTAAAATGAATGCCCTATGTGAAATTAAATTGGATGCCCTATGTGAAAGTAAAATGGATGCCCTATGTGAAAGTAAAATGGATGCCCTATGTGAAAGTAAAATGAATGCCCTATGTGAAAGTAAAATGGATGCCCTATGTGAAAGTAAAATAGGATGCCCTATGTGAAAGTAAAATGGATGCCCTATGTGAAAGTAAAATGGATGCCCTCTGTGAAAGTAAAATGGATGCCCTAAGTGAAAGTAAAATGGATGCCCTAAGTGAAAGTAAAATGGATGCCCTAAGTGAAAGTAAAATGGATGCCCTATGTGAAAGTAAAATGGATGCCCTAAGTGAAAGTAAAATGGATGCCCTAAGTGAAAGTAAAATGGATGCCCTAAGTGAAAGTAAAATGGATGCCCTAAGTGAAAGTAAAATGGATGCCCTATGTGAAAGTAAAATGGATGCCCTATGTGAAAGTAAAATGGATGCCCTATGTGAAAGTAAAATGGATGCCCTAAGTGAAAGTAAAATGGATGCCCTAAGTGAAAGTAAAATGGATGCCCTATGTGAAAGTAAAATGGATGCCCTAAGTGAAAGTAAAATGGATGCCCTAAGTGAAAGTAAAATGAATGCCCTAAGTGAAAGTAAAATGGATGCCCTAAGTGAAAGTAAAATGGATGCCCTAAGTGAAAGTGAAATGGATGCCCTAAGTGAAAGTAAAATGGATGCCCTATGTGAAAGTAAAATCGATGCCCTAAGTGAAAGTAAAATGGATGCCCTAAGTGAAAGTAAAATGGATGCCCTAAGTGGAAGTAAAATGGATGCCCTAAGTGCAAGTAAAATGGATGCCCTATGTGAAAGTAAAATGGATGCCTTGAAGTGTAGTGAATTCTTTCGAATTTCACTGGACTTACAAATTCTCTTTCAACATAGCTGATATGTATTGATATGTCTTTTCTCTGAGAAAGCGTGCTCGAAATTCTTCTGAATTTTAAAAGTTGTCTGGCTTCTTCGTCAGTTGCATAAATCGTGATGCTCATTGGACCTGAACAAAAGATGATACAATAAATACACAATGTCGTCGCCTCTTTGTTGTTCGGTTCAGGAGAATTTACTGCTAAACCAATCATTGAGCTGATTAACAAAACTGTTACTGAATTCAACAAAAATTGTCGAGTAACTGTGGTTTTGCATTGCCATGGCTGTCTGACTTACATGTCCAATAAACTGATATCTTGTCTATCATTTGCACAAACCGACTAAAATCAGTCTGCATGGCCATAGAGATTGAGAAATCGTCATCCGGTGACGTAATCTGTGAAGAATAATAAAGTGGTATTATTTAACGAATAAAAATGAAGCTTAGGACTTGCTCTATTGATCTGTGTTACCATGGTATTTTGAACAGTAGACGCGGCGACGAAATAGAATAAAACAATAATAGCAGGAAACAGACAAGTCTCGTGGCTCTCTCGCTCCCAACGAGATCACGGTGCTCATTTGCATATGAGGTCATTAGCGTACTTACGTTCTCTCCCAAATAAAACATATGTGACCTAAGTACAAGTTGTTCTCTGTCGGTAACGAAAGAACATTTAGTCTGTAGATAAAGAAAGAGAGATTTTTTTTTTACCAAGTGATCAATGTCCCCAATTAGTACAATAAAAGACGGCTAACTCACTTTTGACACAGGAATTTTCGAACATTGTGTAATTAATCCCTGTGGCCACCAGAGTGGGGTGTAATGCTATGGGGGGTACAAAGTTTCCATAGAAACAAAGAACCCTCTTGTTATTTGTTCTTCGTCATTTAGTTGAAATAACCCTTTGCTTAGAAAAATATCAAGAATTTTTTAGTGATTTTGATTTTTTTCATAGTTTCATTCTTAGTTTAAAACACACTGCACTGGGCAAGCATCACATTCCTGTAAATCAGCAAACATATTGTACTTGCCAAGGGTACTGGGGCGTAATTCTACGAGTACTATACTATTTTCCCTTTGTTCCGTGCTTGACCTTTGGCCACGTTGTACGCTGCGCGATATATACAGTTCATTAAAACAAAATGAACCCGAATAATGCTCACGATCGCAAATTAACACTGTAACATCAAAACTAGGTCATAAAGATTCAATCAAGTTTGACATTTGTTTATATACACTTCGTGCTTCGAAGTTCGTGATCGGCTGGGTATCCCACATCACGTGTCAGTATGACTACCTATGTAGTTCGTGATCGGCTGGCTATCCCACATCACGTTCGGCTGGGTATCCCACATCACGTGTCAGTATGACTACCTATGTAGTTCGTGATCGGCTGGGTATCCCACATCACGTGTCAGTATGACTACCTATGTAGTTCGTGATCGGCTGGGTATCCCACGTCACGTGTCAGTATGACTACCTATGTAGTTCGTGATCGGCTGGGTATCCCACATCACGTGTCAGTATGACTACCTATGTAGTTCGTGATTGGCTGGGTATCCCACATCACGTGTCAGTATGACTACCTATGTAGTTCGTGATCGGCTGGGTATCCCACATCACGTGTCAGTATGACTACCTATGTAGTTCGTAATCGGCTGGCTATCCCACATCACGTGTCAGTATGACTACCTATGTAGTTCGTCCCAGAGAATCGAGTTTCAGTTATTTAAAGTCTTGTCTATGCACATTTGTACATAGTATACAAATAAATGTTTTTACATTAAAACACCAGTAGAACGGTTTTGAAGTGACCATTTTCGCATTTTGTCTGCTGTTCACAGAAATATATACAGTGGGGATAGGGGGTAAATGAGTGCATTGTTAGGAGCACAACTAAAAACACAGAGCTGCATGCAGTTGTGATCCGTTCACAAATGTTTTCGTAGTATAGAAGTAACAATTGAATAGTTAAATCATAAATCCGATATCAAGAAATAAAAAAAAATTACAAAAAAATCTCACTTTATTCTTGGGTGTCAAAGATACTGGGCATTTGACCATACGATTCCTGAGAAGATTCCCGTCGCCCTCTACGATACTGTCGTAGATACTGTTGAAATGGTGAACGAAGAGGGCGTCGTTCTCATTTAGCGATTTCTCTGTGACATGTACCATGTTAAAGCTGACTATATCACTGATATCTGAAACACATTGCTGTGTGGTTGAACATAAATAATGTTAATATCTGATCCAGGAGAATCATTCATCGGCATAAGACGTAGTACACAAATGAGAGTTTCTGTGTTTTTTAAAAAGTATTTTGGAATGCTTTGTGTACGGACACAGTCAACATGCGTATCAGTATACAATGTATTTAGTGAAATATACATATACCTGTATGTGCGAGTTTACGTCAACGTTAAATTTACATGCCAGTAATTTCAATCTCTCTCCTGGTTGCGTTTCTATGGCTTTCATTATTTTCTATGACATATGAGAAGCAAACTTAAAATTAATATAAATTCGACACGGTGTGACTTGTGCCGCCATGGAGTAATGGCAGTTTTATGTTTATTTCAATATTTAATTTTAAATTCACTTCAACGGAACATTATCCCAAGTTCAAGTTAATACTTACTGTAGTAAATGAGGATTGTTCATTACTTTGTAGAATATTTTCCCAGAATGCAGTCTGGTCAGCAAACCTACTGAGTGTTTCAATTTCAATCAATACAACATTTCCAGTTTGGTCAAATCGCTCTATACTTGGCTCAATCGTAGCAAAGCAATTATTGTCACCGAACTGGCGAAACTCGTCCCAAAGCTCAGAAATGTCCCGGATGAAGATCACGTTTAAGTCGAGAACGATTACCTGGAACACGAGCCATATGTTGACATCATTTAGACAGTGTTTAAGACGCGAATTAATTGCATTTAAAACAAAAATGACAGATGTGTAACATGTGATATCAATTCGATCAGTAATTCTGTCAGCATGTTGATTTGACATACCTTGTCTATCGGCGTGGCCCACAAGTCACGTGATCTATCCAGGAAGTCATCTACAGAGTAACACGTGTACGCCACTGTAACAAAAAACGTTGAAACGTTAGATTTAGAAGAAAAAAATAGATCCTGTTTTTCAGGTTGATTTGTCTCTTTTTCAGAGTAGAACACAAATTGTTTGAGAATATCGAATTTGAAGTGATTCATTTTGTAATGTGGGAAACTGGTGTGCAATGCAAACTCGTAAGAGAGTCGTATGATTTTGAGAACCTCACCTGACGGTAACAACCAGGTCTTCATTAATGTGCTCACTACAGAACGAATCTTTTCGTCAGCGCTGATAACGTGGAAATACAATGACGACTTGCTATGTGCCGTAATTGATTTGACTAACGAGGCAAACTGTCTCACTTCTGTGTAGCTCGATACGTACATAAGAATATTCACGTACTGAAATAAAGAGTAATATCATGTTTTAATTGGATGCTGGTTATATATTTGAACTAGATTTGGATCATTTCTAAACTGGCCTCATTGTATATTTATAGGTGTATCAGTTATTCGTTTATTAATTCTACTAGCCTCGTGAGTTGATTGGTATTAATGGTACGTACCATCAAAAGTGCATTTGTGTGATTCGTATGTTATCAGTCATAAGTTACCATAGGTATAGATTGCACGTGACTCAGGTTTGTCATCTGAGCGTTATTTAACAAAGTGGGCGATCCCGATAAATTGACTATTACCTCACATGGGTCATTGTAGTACGATATCAGCGGTATATTGTATTTTATCTCTTCGTTTTCAATCACTTCGTGACCTGTCAACAAACATATGAACAACATGCTGAATGACGTAGTACTCAGTTCGTTATTGCCTTCAATTTCCTACGTCACATCATTGTAATGTACAGCACGTCTCATGTAAAGCGGCGCGAAGTTCAATAAGGTTGCCACAACAAAAACGAACGTGTTCACGTGGTATTGCTACAACGATGATCATCGTACGTTCTGATTGGTCCGTCATTTTTGCTTAAAGGCAAGACAACCTTTGACTTGATAGAATTGCCGACTACAAAGCGTATTAGCGAGAACATAAAATAAGAATATGTAAATGGAGATGGAGAATCTTCGGAATAGATTATTAAGTAATTCAATAGACATTTATTAGTATATTTATTCATATTCTGGAAACAACTTTATGATACATACCTTGAAGCATGGCGAGTAAGACAATAAGTTGGACCAACAGCGCCGCCGAATAAAGTATGGCGGTAGCTTTTCCCACTACGTTCATTATAATGCCATTCTACTAACCATATATCTTGTATATAACAGTGGTAACTGTCAAATCATACAACAATGTCACGTGTTATCTCCTTGGTAACAGAACCTATAAATTCGGTCATTGTGTCTTGGAGAAATGCGATAATTTACACACAAATAAAGAACATCGGGCAGTCAGCGTTTGTCAACGTTATGCCATGACGTCACCTTATTGCTTAGACACAAAGCAATGAACACAGCGCACAGGTCACGTCAGCTGTCGTACATAGCAGACGACATTTGCGAACTGGGATTTATTTTTTTAAGTCAAAAAAGAATTCAATCAAAATCGCGTTCACTTCTCATACATCACCAATTTTAATGAACTAATTTTATTGGGAGCAGATATTGACATTTTTGTTAAATATTCAAACGGTTTTTCGTGATAAATTGTAGAAGGTACGACACTGCTGCAGCTGTTACATAATCTCCATCTATTGATTTGGGAAATAGGCTACTTCTATCCCATAATCCATAGTGCAAAACATATTATTCTCTGTTGAGTTGGGATTTTGAAACGAAAATACTACACGACTTTTCAAGATGGCGGACCATTCCACTGTGTAGAGTTACATCCGTATTTCGCCAGAAAGATGCCATGAAGCGTAGTATGGGAACGGGATTATTTTGTCATCTTCATCAGCGCAGCAGAATATGATCGCAAATAGGAAAACAATATCGGTTTTTACGATTTGTATTTGTCTCCAGGCATGCATTTTGGTATCATTTTTGTTTGGTAAGTTTGGTAATTCGAATATGTCTCGCACTCCCGCAAGGTATGGTAAATATTGGTAATAATTTCATAACCCCAGAAAATATTATGATTACAGATATACTCATTAATGCCTTGTGTCTACAAGTAATTTTATTGAATACTAATACGTCAACCGACAACAGGTTGCGAACGATTTAAGCATTATAACATGCTTCTTACACGCCGTGTAAAATATTATCCACCCCCACCTTTTTCGCTTGCAATTCGAAATTGAAATACAACATAATATTGCGTGAATGTTAATGACTGTGCTTATATTCATTAACCAGTAATTAATCAGAATGGTGGCGTGCCTTCGGACTCCGAGCTGGATCTACAACGCCGATCGATACGACTGATACCGAGACAGTGCGAGGTTAGTCAAATTGACGATATGTTTTGAACGTGGTTACAATTATTACGCAACGTCGTGCGTCACAAGCTTACATTAATTTAGTTCATACGTGCCATATATAAGCGGTATATTTGATTTAAATTTAAATTTATTTCGTGCCTATCAAAAAGTATATTTCGATTATGTATCATTCCTCCGATATATAATTTGTGTACAGAAAGCGCACACAACAACATGAACATTCTTCCCATGATGCAAATTCCAACATGTCTTCTGGAGCTGTATCTTAGCAACCGATCCGAAATCCCGTTTAAATTAATCAATAATCGTATTCGTAATATTTTTAATGATTTTATTTCGCCAGACCCTTCATTTTTTAATTTGTGTACCTGAACTGGAAGCTGTTCGATCGCTAAGTGTTTTAGTGAAGTCCGTGATTATTCATCGTGTAAACCCGTTACATTTTCATTTTGTAATCAATGACTTACAAGTGAACATTACGATTCATAAACTATTTGAGACTTGGCGACTGCCACAAGGTAGGAAACGGTTTTAAATTTAATGATATCCATGATATTGTATGTCGTGATTGGACGGCGTGTGATAAAGCAACATTGTGTGGTACATCTATTATAATAGAGCATTTAATGAAATCACATCTGTTACCGGCGCATAATTATATGCAAGCAGTGTTAAATTTCCGACCCAAGATATTAATTGTGTCAAACATATTTGTAAAACGATACTGGTAACATGATCATGACACTTAATAATAAGTAGCCACACTTTTTAGTTGCAATAATTGAGTTTAACAAATAAACCATTATTGTTATTATTTTATTCTAATTTTAGCTGATATAAGTATTTATTCACCCGAAGAACTAGTGGATGTCCTTCATAGTGACAACGTTCCATTTTCAAAGGTAAATTATCGCCATAATGGGTTGTCGACTGCGTACTTCGCTATAACTAAATTTGTCAATCTTGCCATCTGTTCATTGATGTGTGCATGGAAGTGATTGCACTTCGAAACTGTAATTAAGAACAGTATTAACCGACATTTTTTTAAATTTTAAGTTTAGCGTAGTTTTATTGATGAGGCCCAGTGTAAGTTTGCCAATCCGTAATACATATCATTGCGTAAGCGAACAATAGCAGGGCTGAACGCACAAAAGAATGTGTAAACATGGATGAAACGGATGTCACTATTATCTTATCTCACCAAACAACATGATGCGAGTATAATATTAGTTTAACTCTGTGCATCACTTCATTAATATAATACGATAACTCGGAGAAATGAATAGAATTTGACAATATTTTTCTGCGAAGCAAAAAAACCTATACACGTACACGCTAAAATAAGAAAGAGCTCACTACCGTTCGAACTCTATTGCCACGAAATTGTCAACTAGACGTGTAGAAGCCATTTTCTCTAACCATATTGCCAGTGTTATGCGTTTTTACGTTATGAGGGATGTTCAATACAAAACGCACTTACAGAAGTTGTTGTCATCCTCTGGAAATATAAAATTGGGCATCAACAAATTGACAGTCTGAGAGAGATGAGAGTTTGTAATTTCTGTAATAGATGATATGTACCATTTCTTACTCAAATGCCCGCCATGGGGTTATCTGCGGACAATTTAGCTACGAACAGAACTATATAGGTAATTTATTCATTAATATTATTTTTACAAGGTCATAGTCACTGAAGTGCAAACTGTATTCGAAACCGATGTCCGAGTCTTTTGGAATGAATTTTTCAATTTTGAGTCGAGCGAGGTTATTGGACTTGTTGGGACGATATGGGATGCAAACCCATACAGCCGTGGATTAATCTTAATAAACGTGGAACGACTCATGAAAAAAAGTATGCTAGATGTACTTGAAAATATTATCATGGAAAGTAAACTCGACCCTGGAAGGCATCTCCCACCAGAAAAGTCACCGATGAAGGTAAATAAAGTAGTCGATTCAGCATATCTCCACAATACATCATGATCGTGGTATTTTCTATGAAAGACAATTGTAGAACATATTCATGATTTTTATTTTGTTTAGACCCATGTAACATAGCGAACACAATAACAAAATAAATGCATGAATAATGGGTCGTGTGTTCTTGTCGATGACTCGTTATCATGCCAAATATGGAGGTCACCTATAAACCATTAACATATAATGTTATATTGTTTCAGAGATTGTGGAAATCGTTTACCGACGACAACAGTAGAGCTGTACGTCTGCTTCCTTGTTATTGGTATATTGAGACAACTTTCAGAGTAAGTCTACATGGGCTAACAAAACACCGTATATCTATAAATGCACCAATACACGATATGGATCGCTGCTTATACCTTGCATATGTTCATGGTGTTGTAATTGTCTTTGCATTTGAAATTAAACTATACACGGAAACACCACCACTTAATCACACCTTATCCTTGCAAATTGCGAATACCGATTTTCGTGTTATTGACGTTGTTATGTTAATGAGTTTTCGATTACTTACGCAGTGTATGATTATGAAAATATATGCATCTAATCAACAATTATAATTCCATGGACCAAATTATTAATATGGTGGTGTAAAAACTAGCATGAATTATTTTATGAAAATAATGTTCCTTTTTCGCAGTGTTTTGACAGTGTATCCGAGGTCCTGAGTTTTAATTCAAAAACCGTGATCGAAGAAGATGGACAAATGGGTTATGAAAGACGACTTTATTTTAAAACAGCCCTATACAGCCTGCAAGACTTAGACGGTAATCTCCTTCGAAGTCGGAATATAACATGTAACTGGAACGGCAGAAAACCCCAAATATCCCCAATTCCAATAAGAGAAACAACGCCACAGGTATAATAGCAGATCAAATTTAATTTTTCACCCACATTTTTTCCAGATGCTGTACTAAGTTATCATTGGAATTATTTTGTTTGCACTTAAAACACTTATTTTGTATTTTCAGAAACCAGGTCGTCGTGATCCGAAAATTCTGTGTGCCGACTTTTACAAGCGGGAGACATTAAAATTACGAACGCATACGTTTTTTGTAGGAAACCTTCCAGTAAGTAAAACAGTATCAATTTAAAATTACACAAATACAACACCAACAAAAAACACTCACGTGCACATTTGCCTTTATTGCTTGTGTTGGAAATATATTAATAATACTCTTTCTGTATTAAAATATTAGGAAGACCCTCCATCCAACGATGTCACACTGGCGTTGCAGACAGACTTTTATCGTCTGATTCAAATGTTTGAATTGGTAGCGAGCTACTGGACAGGTGGGAACACCATAACTTACGATCACTGTATTCATGCGTGTCCTTCTGAATTGTGTGTCTCCATTTCATATGAATGTTTTTGCCTGCTTTATAAGGAGCATATTTCAATAATGACAACTATGACATAAAGTAAAATGCAGTGTTATTCAAAACATGTCGGCGCAACTATACGTACGATTAATCACGGACAGATAACTGCACACTAGCAACGATTAGAAATTACTGACAACATGTGCCACGTGCCCATTCGAGCATTTTAAAACTGAATCGTAGTTTTGTAATTAGGCAGGGAATAGCTACAGATGGAAACTGTGTCACATATATAATTTACATATTAAATTGAAGTTGAAAAATGGCCTGTGAGCATGATATGTGTTATTTACTCTAATCATATAATGCCTTGGGTAATTTGAAATACTGAATTATATTACACTCATACAAAAATATACGCATACATAATATACTATTTTATTTATACATTACCAGGTCCAATAAGTTTAGCTGTTTATGCAAATGACCAACAGGCTCACGAAGTGTTTCGATTTGCCTCCTCGTCCAAGGCAATGAGAACTAGACACGATATTGCCATTCACATCGGATATGAAGAAAGGGACTTGGTACGTCTTTTACTATATGTACAATTTATTGGATGTCCCGCCCAATGTAGTATGATTGTATGGAGTCGAACAACCTTTTGGGCGCTGTTTCCACATAGTGAAATGTTTGAATTAAATTACACATTTTGTTGATGGCCGTATACATTATTCTTTAACAGCGACAGTACCCATTTAACCATATGAGGAATATTGCATTGGGAGAAGTCAGGACGCCATTCATTTACATGAGTGAGATCGACTTCCTTTATAAATCTACAGCATATGAAGACATTCGGTAAGTGGGCCTAGACTGTAGATTACATTTACCACCTCGACAAAGATTGACTGGAAACCACAGATCAATGAGGGTGTTAAGCTGTTAAGAAATAACACAGTTCAATAATTCAAAATAGAGTACGATAACATCAAATCAATAAACCAATCAATAACAATGGTATATTATGTTCTTTAGACGAAGACTCGGCCATATTGTGGAAAAACAAGAAGATGGCGAAAATCAGGTATATAGTTATAACATGCTCGTATTTTTATTGCTGTATTTATTAATACAATCGGCATTATTTATGGTAGTAATTATTTAGTATTGTATCATAATATTTCATGATACAACAGTATCCGTAATCGGCGATTCGTGATGTGATTTTTTTTTAATACCATGTGATTGATTTTACAAAATTATGCCGCCGAATACCTTAACAAATGTAAATTAAAACGAAATGGAATTAAAAGGTAATAACATAATTTTGAATTTAGTGTATTTACAGCAATATGAATTTATATTAATACTCTATTTTATTTCAATGTAGGCAATTGTTGTTCCAGCTTTCGAGACGGAACATCTTAATCTGTCCTATATCCCGAAGTCTAAGAACGAACTTGTACGACTATATACACAGGGAAAACTAAGATTCTTTCAGTGAGTATCAGTTGATTCAAATGAAATAATTGTAATAACAATGTATGTGTTTCATTTTTGTTTTGATGTGACTATTTGAAACCATTAATTATTGCCTTTTTAGAATTGAACAATATAGGCCGTGTATTCTGTTTGCATCGTGTGTGTTCGATTTCTTCGTCCACAGTTACGTAATACAGCTTGACAGTGTTACATAAAAAAAAACGTTTTATATTGCAGCTCATTGGATTTTTCAAAGGGACATGAAGCCACGAATTTCACGAAATGGATGACATCGGTTGTTCCATATCCGGTGAGAGTATTAGCTTATACATTTGTAGCTTGAATGAATGAATGAATGAATGAATGAATGAATGAATGAATGAATGAATGAATGATGATGAATGAATTAATTAATTAATTAATGAATGAATGAATGAATGAATGAATGAATTAATGAATGAATGAATTAATGAATGAATGAATGAATGAATTAATGTGAATGAATGTAAATGAAACTAATCGATGTCGTGTTTTCTTTCCAGGTGACATTTAATCTTGGGTATGAGCCATACCTCGTTCTCAGCAAAAAGGGCCTACCAGAGTTCCCTTTGTTGTTTTCAGGAATGGGGAGAGACAAAATAATTTACACGCAGATGCTTAAGGTTCTCGGGTTAGTATCATGTGATCATTAAACAGTGAAAATTGTATTTATTCTAATATAAACCGCCACCCCATCCCTCCACAACACGGCAACACACTATTTTCTGTGTCAAAGGAGGGACAAAACGAACTCTTTCCATATTCCTGTGTACACTCGTAAGCTACCATATTCGTGATCAACGTATTTTTGTACACGAGAAACCGTGGACGTGACCATGTTCTAGCCCAATCCATTCACTTCAGTGTATATGACGTCGAAAGGATTATAGTCATGAAAAAGCAAATTACATATACTAGTCTTGTACTACACGATTGCATAGGTAATTGCTGTTAAAAGTGAAACAGCAAAACATGAAATTATAAAATTATAGTGTACCTATCAACAATTTGAGAATAAATAAATTCTATAAAAATCTGGTTAATATATATATCATTTTTGCTTTTCAGGTATAAACTGTCCGTTTCACCGAATGCATACATGATTCATATGCCACATTGGCCAAGCACGAGTAAAATGATGTGGGATGCTGATGGGAATTATAGATGGTAAGTCTAAATAGATGTTGTTATGCAAACAGATTCATACAGGGCGTTGGAGCAATAATGCTAGGTCGAATGAAAATTGACTCTCAGACATATTGATGTGACATTTAAGGTTATATACATATATTTAAACTTCTCGTTCAGGTGCTTCTGAATAGCATAAATGGGCATGGTACAGGTTCATTTAGTAATAGTATAGTGTAGATATACCGTGTACTGGTATGTAAGCGATATTATAAATAATTTGAAAGTAAAAATTATCATTTTAAAATTACGATTTGTTTCAGGTGCGTGTATCAACTCACAGCAAGATTCTTGAAGAAGTTCATGAACGAAAATAAACTAATAAATGAGGAAGATGAATACAGATGACAGTAACCCAAATAAAATTGACACTTTTACCAGTATTTGGGGAGAAGTAATCCGCGGTCACAAAAAACAACTTATCATTATCACCATAGAGTATATTCGCGTGTGCATCCTCAAATCACATAATTAAATAATGGATGAAATACAAACGAGTATATCTATGGTTTTAGCGGATCCACATATTCCACTTGCAGTTTATATTTACTTTTCAATAATTCCCGTCGAAACACTTTGGATCTTTAAATACAAACTTTACCCGATGTTCTATCTGTTTTGGAAACCGTTAACGCTAATATATGGCCGAGCTGATGCTAGTTTTGGGTCATGGTATTTGCATGGTTAATCCCTAGAACAACAATATCGCATCATCAGCAAAATAATATGCAAATTAGTCCTTCATAGATATTCATTGTACAGATGTTTTTTTTATTGTACTCCGGCTTGTATAAACACCCTGCCTTTACAAATTATGTGACAAATAGGATGCGTATGAACAGAAAATAGGCAAATAAATGTTATCTTTTTATTATATAAATGTAGAATGAGTTCATTTCTCCTAGCTGTATGTGACATCCCATTCGAACTTATGGTAAGTAACATAGCCTGTGTACGTAAATTTGACGTTATTTCCGGGGCCCTAGACATATGTCGCTGATACAAAAAATACAAATTAATGCCATGCACATAGTAACTATACTCTATGCTTTGTAAAAGTAAATGCCAGTAATTTAAATAAACATTCACATAAATTTGACACAGAAATCACATTGAATTCTTGAAAATATTTCCAACTGGAACCGATAAGCTACTAAATTTGGATACACAATTAGGGCGTGTTATGTTATCTGAACGAAAATTTCTCAAGTGCGTTTCAAAAGTGTATACACAACTTGTCCAGACAAACAAACGAGCGATAAGTAAGCCTCCAGAATTTTGACTGTGATCTGTACTTGGCATGAACTTGAAAATTTTACAACTTGAATCGGCTTGCACTCCACACGCACTTCGCCGACCGACAGAGGTATTTGCATATTTTACAACATAAAGAGATATTTGCATTTTTTAAATTCACAAAACACAGCGCGTCGCAACTTTTTTGATGGCTATTCAATTTCACACTATGACCTCTCATTCTGGCCAATTAACTTTTTATAGCAGAAATAAAAACGACTTTTCATTCTAATATTTGATTATCGACAAACCCAATTGGTTGGAAGGCATATTCACAATATAATTATGGAAATTGTATATGCGCATAATTACTGAGGTCACATGACCATCTATTAGTTCATGTAAAACACTCCATATGCACAATACCTAATTAGTATTAAATGTGTATCTATAATCTCAAAGAATAAACATGTACATACCATGAGGTCACATGACCAGACAATAGTTTTTATAAACTATTCATCCATAAGTACAACTCCTGGTTAACAGTAACTGTACAAATCTTCACAAATATGCACAATGCTCAATTAGCAGTGCTTGTGTATCTATAACCAATTTCTTGGGACTAGGTATGTGCATAATAAATAGGTCACATGACCAGCCAACAGTTTATTTAAATATTCTCAAAAATCCAAATCTCTTTATTTATCTGCATAATGTTCGGTTAATAATAAGTGGAGTCATTGGGAATTAAATATGTGCGCAAATAATGAGATCACATGACCAGAAAATAGTTTATCAAAATCTCTCTCACAATGTTCAGTATTTAGTAAATATTTAACTATTTGTGAATATGCGCATAATTAATGGGGTCACAAGAACAGCAAGTAATAATGCTCAAACAAAATTGCAACCCTGTAAAAATCAAACAAACCCACATACAAAATGAATATAATTAATATTACACAAAAACTGTTTATCTTTAAGACTAATTTACATTACTTTTACATTAAATGTTTGTGGAATTAGACACGTAAGTATGCGCACATTCGTGCAATGATAAAATACAAGAACAAAGTGTAAATCTTTTTGTGCAGGATTCGAGCCCGAGACCGTCATTACCAACTCAATAAGAACTGTTTGCTCCATAACTAACAGTGCAGATTGCTTGGTTTAAATGGTTAGCATGTTTGTAAACTAGTTTATATCTCGCATTAGGTAACTTGCATATTTTCAATTGTTTTAACAGTTTTTAATTAATGTCATAAAAAGGCCAATGTAATCAATGATCAAAATAAAAGAGCAACTAGCACAAATTACGTGATTTGCAAATACTATAAAATCAATGACACCTGCCTTGCGAATCATGCACCTGAAGCATAGGTCTCAACATTTAGTTTATTGCAATTACTGACATCGCAAAAATGGTTGGAACAGCAAATCAGCGTTATTGCCAGCTAATTTGTTAACCATGCCGAATTCGTCTCTTTATCACACCGTTTTTAAGAGGATGAATTCATATATATATTGTAAATGACACACTCAATCCTTTAAATCTGATGTTTGTGTTTTCTATCCCATTTGACAATAAACCACGTGATTCAAAAAACCAAAATGGTACACTTATGCAGCAATGCTCACGCCAAACAGTATGTAAATTTAAACAGCAGTCGGTACTGAGTACACTTTCAATATTTACGTGTAATGAGGAATGTACGCACACACGTAAACGTGACTTCAACCAAGATAATGTACTAGTTCCAGATAAAATATAGAGAAAAGATTCGACAGAGCTACTGTTAGAAAATCGTATTTGGACTTCTTGACATTTATTCGAAAGATCTGTTCAACCTTGATATGCAAGATATGTAAAATATGTATTGGTGTTCATAGATTGAGGCCGAAATCTGCAAAGTCGTCATATAATTACTTTCATCGCAATAATACTAAATCGGGGGTTAGCGTAATTCCGAGTCCATAATTTCTAGATAAAAGGTCTATTACAAAAATTAATAGTAATTATTTAATTAATAAAAAGTAGTGGGGCATTTGTGTAAAATACGTTTGAAATAGGCTCACCACAGGAATGATATTTGTTTATTTACATATATCACGAGTGTACTAATTTAGGATTAGACATTACTATGAGAGAATCACGATATGGGTTGGGGTAGGTGATGGGTATGTAGAGTGCAAGGCTTGTTATCAGGTTTAAAGCATTGTTAAAAAAATAATCATTAAAAGAAATATTTTGAAAATGGCAGCTGTTCATTCGTGTTCTATACAAATGAGAGTATTGCAGTGTTGGTAACACACATTCAACCCAATCTATGTGAAATATTGGAATAGTGTACTCAATACCGGCTGTTGTTTAAATTTACATTTAGTCTGGTGTGAACATTGTTACATAAGTGTGTTATGTAACTTGTTGTATGTAGAGAAACAATAAACGGTTTTGCATAATAAAACCCGCTACACACATGTACAATCACAGGCCATGTAAGAAATAAATTGTGACTATAAACTATCTTATCTTACTAATTGTCTCTAAATCACGTCATGTATTGCACAAAATTCTTTTTTTAAATCAAATACAGAAAAAAATAAAATTTCAGGCATGAAGTAAAAGAATTAACAGAGTAATTAATTAGTAATTAATGAGTTTCATTCGCAGTAAATACATATGCATCCTTTATAACGCTGTAACCCAAAGTTGTATTCCGCATCCTAATGGTCAGCTGAATGGATAGCAAATTAGCTGGCAATATTGGATTTGGAGTTCCATTAATTTGTTCGATGGAGGTAATTAGGCAAAGAAAAATAAAGTTGATTGTGTGATTTCGTGACAGTGGAAACAACAACAACAGATTCGCATCGCTGAGACACCGCATGATAAATAAAGTTTTTAAATCCGAAATGGCCGCTGAACCACGTGACCAATTGCCAACAAGTTGTCAAACTTGAATGTACTCGGTACAAGTATATGTATTGTATGATTAGTGGTTCTGAAGAAGACTATTTTAAAGCGTGTTATGTCATTTTTGGGGATTTTTTTACAATGCAAACAATCATGATAAACTTTTTATTAGTGGTATTAATAGTGCATATGCTAATGATGCTACAACACGTTGCAAATGGCCACCAAACCACACGACCAAACACGTTTTTAAAAGTTAATCGCACCATGTTATGTAATTTCTTGCCATCTTAAACAATTTAAAGCACACTGTTCAATGGTTCTATTATACAAGATCACGAAAAATACGGCGGAAGAAAAGAAACATCAGAATGATTTTGCAACAAATGGGATTCAAGTCCCCTCAGGTCTGTATCCTAATAATTAATTCTGAAACTTTGTGCGAATTGACAATTTGATTATAGGTCTAAATCTAATACATATACCAATTTTTAACTTAGACATTGAATTTTATGAATATGACAACCAATATAAAATAATTTGAATGGCGCCAGACAACCACCACATGTTGAGTTCAATAATCAACATTATAGACATTTTAGACAGCTTTAATGACAATTAAGCCTTTCGGTTGATCGCAGCACACGTAATTCCGCCCAGGTGTCAATGGACATCAAGTTTGTGGACAAACACAATAGTAGTAGTTGTGTCAACACTCCTATATTACAATTACAGAAAAAACAACCAACAACGTTTTCACATTTATTTTGGGGCGCATCTATCATTTGTGGCTTTTGATCATAAAGCTTATATTAGGGTCACAATTAAGTTGACACGTGTATTTCGCTTCAGATTGATTGATTGATATATTAAAAGTGTAACAACAAATAAACTCATTGTTAACATTGACAATATTTGAAGCACATCTTGCATATCTAAACAAACACAGTTTAAATACGGGAGATTACTCGCGAACTAGAACGGGAGGGTAGTCGGAGTGTGTACCGTCCTGGTGTTACGACTCTTTGATCACGCACAGGAATCACATCTAGGCGTCTCTATCACGCCGTACTCTCGTGCAATCCATGTCAGCTGCAATGCGGATTTCCGTCCCATGCTTATTGTTTCCTCCCACTGTACCAACGCTGCGATAAACGAGTCACATCTGCGACCTTTGTAAATCAGTGAAGGCCAAACACAAAGAATGTTTAAATAGCAACTAGAGTCTGATAAATTACATGAATGAATCTATGAACGTCATTCATACGTCATAAATCAAATAAATTATGACACGTTTTTGACAAGCACAACAAAAAAGACCACAACTGTGATGTGATGATTTATTTTAGTCGTGGTGCATATTGATAATAAAAAATTAATTAAGAAAAACTGTGACGTCAAATGCGAGGTTTCTTGAAAGAGTAATGTTCTGGCGATGTTGTTGAAATTTCGGTAAATTTATGGAGCAATATGTCATACTGTAAAATGAAATCCAGCGAATATACCCCTTTTACCATATTTTACATCCAACTCATGGCAAATCAGTTAAAACAAACTTCATACTAAACATCCAACTTGAAAAAGTGTTTTCAGCAAAAAGTAATTCTAGCTAATATAAAGTATATTACAATACATGTCGGGTGCAACGATTAGCGGCCATTGTTGTAATACGTCACGAGCTTATAGCTACGTCATGTTTTATTTGAATACCACTTTTTCACTGGTTGGCACTATCGTGTTGATTTAAATGATATATTTTCTATGTGTGTTCATCGGGAGAGGGGTAATTCAAATTGTCACCTACTACAAAACAATGTAATAATAATGATAGTGATGTCCCAAGTGATGTGGCATTTTCTTCCCAGTACACAAAAGGGTTAATTGTGTTGGCTGAATACATTTCGGAATTACGGCAAAACATATGTCGTCTGCGTCAGCTTGTGTTTTCCATATATGGAAACAAAGGGGCAGTGACGCGATACAGAGGTCAGTGGATGGTGTGTGAATTTATTCCGTTTAAAATGTATCTGTTATTACTTTTATTGTGCCAAAGATGTACAAAGTAGTAGTATATTCTAGTCCCGCGACGAGTTGCAAACAGGGGAGTTGGTGAGTAAGTACTACTTCATTATTTGAAATTATTTAAATTAAAACGAACAAAACGGACGTTTAGTTTTAGACTGTCTGTCGACAGCGCAGCCGTGATGCTTTTAGTTATTGATAATACCTACCCGCATCGATACCAATAATATTGCCTGTGTTACCGTAGTTGTTGTGGCTTGTGTGTTCAAAGAATAACATACATGTACTAAATTAACGTGTCGTTGCACTGTGTCGCTCAAATTAAACGTCTCAGAGGCCAGCCACCCGTGTGTTGCATGACCCTTTAAACACAGGCGTAGTCGGGTGAGTGTTTGACAAGTAATCACCATGAACAAAATGGTGGTTTATAGTAGGACTCATGCCACGATCTGCGATGGAAAAATGGTGACATGGCAGTAGCAGATCGCCCGTTTTATTCAGTGCGGTAGTATTACACATCTAAATTTACCCTCAATTTACGTCTATACTCTGCATGCTAGTATACTTTATAATCGGACAATCTCCCAATAGATAGAAAAAAAGAAAAAAACTAAGACCATTTCATCCTCCACTCTCCTTTTCGCATAAATAACTGTTTTTGCTCTGATATTTTTTGTCATTCATGCATCTATACGTACTGTAGTTGACAAAACCCGTTAAATCCCGTTTTCGGGTCATTGCTTCTAACATAATCTGCATCGGCTGACACGCAAATAGGCGATTTAACCGCAAATATGACATATTATAATGAAAAGAAATATGTTATTTCCTGTCTAGATCATGTGTAGAAACTAAACGGTGTGTGTATTTTACGCCGGATAATTAGATAAATAATAAATTATATCATTATTTTATTTTGTTTTTGAGCATATTAATTAGTTGTATTATTACAACTTGACATCGATAAGCTAACAAACGAATATATTCCTTTCATCTACGGATTGCTCTTCATTCTATGGCAATTAGCATTATTTACCAGTAGCAGCCTCATGACGATCAGGAATTCTCTCTTACAACTATTTATTAATTTATTATACAATAAATTCAAACTATGATCAGTGATTTTTTGTATACAGTCGTTAATTTTGATTTCTTCTATATTTCAGATTACATTATCGATACTATCGTAAAAATAAAGGATCTACCATGAAAGTAGACTTTCGTTTCCAGCGGTTTACGCAACAACACAGTTTGAAAAGCCGGATTATTCTTTATTTTCTTTACAAACGATGTTCAACAGTAGCTGTTCTCTCGGTAATTGTAGTGTCGTTATATTTCACCATTGCAAACCTCTCCCTGATAGTTACTGGAGGAAGTGCAAATTCACAAGTTTCCCTTGCCTTGAGGGAAGCTTCTTACGAGGATCTCAAGCCAGTTGTAAGTTTCTCCAATCTCACATGGTCGGAGAGAAGTGTCATATTCAATCGCATTGAAAGAACAGGTAGTCGAACACTTTTAACAATAGCAGAGAAGCTGTCTAAAAAATATAATTACACAGTACAAACTAGAGATGCCTGGGCAATGAAATACATGGGATTGGGAGAGCAGAAAGCGTTGGTACATACCGTTAACGCAGTGAAGACACCGTTTATTTATGACCAATCTGTCCACTATATACACTTCCCAAGATACGGCTCCAAGCAGCCATTTTGGATTAGCCTCGTTCGCGACCCTCTTAGGCGGATCATATCGCTCTATTACTATAAACGTTACGGTGACGTAGGAACCAGGCCGAACGCCTCGCAGCCCACAGCCGGGAAACCCAGTTTCGATGACTGTGTGTTGAAAAACCAACCTGAATGTAGCCTAAAGAATGTATTCCGCGTCATCCCGTATTTCTGTGGACAAAGTGCAGGATGCCGTGTTCCCAACAAATGGGCTCTTGAGACAGCCAAGAAAAATGTGGAAGAAAATTTCAAGTTTGTTGGCGTGTTGGAAGAACTGAATACAACATTTCAAGTTTTGGAAGTCCTTCTCCCACAATTTTTTCACGGAGCACCAAGGGTTCACAAATCTATTATAAGTTCTGGTGTTGTGGATCACTTCAAATCGTTTCCAGGACAACCGCCATCAGAACAGGCACTTACGAAGATGAAAGGACGTTTGGCGCTAGAATACGAATTCTATGAATTTGTGAAAGAAAAAATGACCAAAATGAAAAATGATCTTGGAATAAAATAACTCACAGATTGGGTCATGTATTAGTAATACAATTTTTAATGAACATTTACCCCACTAGGGGGTGGGGTATATCACTAGCATACAAATCGATACTATAATCTACTATACCATACCTACCGTATCAAAAAAACCACCCCACAACTTGAAGAAAGACTATTATTTGTCTATGTTGTGCAAAATTGTCACGAAACACGGTGTAAAGCTGGAAACCCCCTTGGAGGTCATTTTGTTATCAAATACAAATATACTTTCTAGTGATATCGTACGAATTAAAACCACTCTCTGCAGTATTTCATTAGTAGTTTATTGTAAATGACACTTTAATTAATCTTCTGTATGACACATATTTATAGCTTCGCGCTTGGAATGATACACGGTTTTTGCTATAATCTCAATTTTATGCAAATGTATTTCTTTTAGAATTTAAGCCTGAATTCAAATTCATTGAAAAATGGGCACCAAGCAAAAATGGATAGGAGTTGTGATGCTTTAAGTATTGTATATATTATTTATTTCTGTACACTTATCGCATCAAAGACGTTTAATATGGTCATGCAGATTTGTCAATGTCTAATGTTGGATACATGATATATATATAATCAAAATTAGAAGAAGGTCCAATCATTTCATCGTAATTCCACAAATAAACAATTCAAGGACAAATATATAAAAACAGATGAGTTATGAATCCTACAGAGTCCTGGTAAATATATCTTCTATCTGAATATGTTAATTTTGAAATTTCATTTTAGCATTAATAAATCTTTTCTATAAACTGTTATTTTTATTTCCACCTCATTATTATAATAACGCCTCCTAGGATGTGTATGATAGTTTACCAATTACTTCGATATATTAGTCATACTAAATGTTTCCAGTAAAACAGTCCAAAAAGTATTTTGTTTTTCTATCACACACAATTTGGCTGCCAAAGACTTAATTGACCTTGTGTTCTACTCAGTACTGCGTCTATGCTCCCTACATATTGTGTCTGCTCTCTGTGCTGCGTCTATGTTCCCTATGTATTGTGTCTGCTCTCTGTACTGCGTCTATGTTCCCTACGT